ACTGATAGGTCTTAGTTTAGTGAATGATTGTGGGCAATCCACCTTTGGTACAAGAATTAGGAATATATGTGTGAAAGCCCGTGGAATAAGTTTTCCTGCAATAAAATCCAAGATTACTAGTAGCAAATCTTCCTTTATGATCTCCCAGCATGAGTGACAGAAGCTCCCAAATACACCATCAGGACTTGGAGCACTATGAGCACTTATTAAAAATACCACATCTTTTAGTTCCTTCATAGTAGGCGATGTATTGAGTGCCTCATTATCTTCTTCATCAATTAACTTAGAAATATATTCTGAGAAATCACATATATATGTGTTCTCTTATGAATTGTTTCTGAAAAAAGGAAACAACTTCTTTAGCAATCTCTGCATCTCCTTCAATCAAATTACCATCATCTTTATCCTTTTTAAAGATAATCTTTTCTTTCTTCCATTAACAACAAAATAGAAGAATTTAGAGTTCATCTCACCTTCTATAAACCACTTTACACTAGTTTTTTTGCCTCCAGAATACTTCTTGCTTCTTGTGTATTTAATTAGTAATGCATTAGCATGGTTTAGAACTTCTCTATTAACTTCCGAATTGTCTGTGAGAATTCCGCCCTCAATGTCAGCAACTTTGACTTCTATCTCTTTAACTTTCTCAAGAACATTTTCAACAATAACCCTAGACCATTCAGATAATTTCTTGCATGTATTTTTTTATTTTTAAGTGAAATCTCCACATTGGTGATCCTTGTACTTCACCGTCCCAGGCTTGCTTCACATCAGATGAAAAATCAGCTTCTTCAATCCACAAATCTAAAAATTTAAAATATCAAATAGGTTGCCTCAAAGAGTTTTGAGCAATAACAACTAGAGGTGAGTGATCAGAAGCATTTCTAATTAGATGATTGACATTCGTAGAGCCAAAAATATTCATCCATTCATGATTGACCAAAACCCTGTCGAGCCTTTTCCAAACTCTCTTTTCAGGGCACGACCCATTACACCATGTGAAGATAGATCCTGAAGATCCAGGGTCAATGAGTTTACAATCCATAATGCACTGTACCAAAGGTAAGCTCTTGGACATCCTATGAGGACTCCCCCCTTTCTTCTCACTAGGATTTACTATACAATTAAAGTCACCAACAATATACCATGGGAGCCTATACTTGTCATGAATTTCTCTGAGGGAATCTCACAGATATTCCTTCTAGCTTTTATGACACTTTGCACAAACCGAGGAAATAAGCATTGAGACTCCATTCCATTTGATAATGCAAGTAATATGTTGATCATATTCTTCCACCACCCTACATTCTAGTAGTTCATCCCAGAAAATCCAAATCTTACTGATGCTATTAGAGTAAGCATTGGTATAACCAAGTATTTTTTTTTGTATTTGTCCATTTTATCAACTTAGTAAAAAGGTTCACTCACAGCTATAAAATGAATCTTCTTTGATCTAACAAATTGATTAAGTCTCTCAAGAGCCCCAATGGAATGGATACTCTTAATGTTCCAGAATAGGAACTTATTCATGGAGTTATTTGGAGAAATGTTATTTCTATGAGGATCCTAACGGCTTTTATTTGGAGTGTCTTCAACCCCTTCCCCATGTTGCTACTTCTACCTCTACCTCTACCTACCCCGAAGGGATAAATGTAACTTTCTAGTTGTGCTGTCAAATGCAGAGGTCACAGTAACATGCACCAAAGACTGGGAGCAAATTGTCTCTACCAGAGTGTCTGCTTGATCATCACTATTGAATTTTTTCCACGTCTCCCCATTTGTCTACATGATCATCACTGTTTAGTTGTTCACTATCAACACTTGCATAGTCCTTGATTGCTTTTGAGATGATCTCATACCCCGTAGTCCATGTCTTCTGAGCTATCCTCCTCCTCATTAGATGAATGTAATTGTGCACCAGGATCAAAATCAAAATCACCATCAAAATATTGTTCTTCTTCCAGTCTTGTACCACTAATGAGCTTTAAATAGTTGTTTTGAACCTCTCAAGGATCAATTTTATTGGCTAATGCATTATTCTACCCCTGCATCACATGAGGATCCTTATCCTATTTTGGCTTTAATAATGTTCTGTTCTCAATATGGCCTGAACTTTGCATTTGGTCATTTGATATACTATATCTTTGTTGCCATTTTCCCCACTTCTGTGTAGGGCAGAGTTTGATAGTTGCTTATTGGCTTCTAAAACTACATTCTCCTCCACTTCAAACTCTATTTCTTCTTTCTTCTTCGCCTTGTCCTTTTGTTACTTGGTTCGGATATGTTGCTCTCAATATTGTCCTGAGATTTTGTATTCTGAGTATTTGATCGTACCTCTATTGTTGATATTCAGCTTAAAGTATGCATATTTTATATATATATTGACTCGCATTTTACTCATGTCTCATAGATTTCGGACGTGTAATATAATAATTTGCACTAATTTATGGTATTTCTATGTGTAAAAATCATTCGGATGCAATTTGGGTCGAAGGTGCATGAATTGAAGCGAAAATGGGACGAAAAGAGAACTATGCACATCGTAGGGCACCACCTGTGGCACACAAAATAGAAACTTCAAAAACCCAGTGACAGGGCTAGCGCCCCACGCTATTTTGGGAGCTATTGACATCAAATTGTCCTAGTTTGCCTATGACTTGGTTATTTCAACCCCAAGATGACCCAACTCGTATAAAAGCAAACCTAAACCTATTTTGGCAAGGATGACGCAACTTTGAGAGAGGAACAAAAGTACGAAACACTCAGGGGCACTGACTTTATCAAGTCGTCCATTCTTCTTCTAGTATTCATCGATTTTATATTTGAAAATAATATTTTGATGATTGTTATGAACATGAGTGGCTAAGAACCCTAGTATTCTGGGGTCATGGGTGCTACATTAATATCAAAGTTTGAAGTTTAAATTTATGAGTTTCATTTTATCATATTGAGTTATTTATTTAATTCTATTTTTAATTATTTTGCTGTGTAGCTAATAGTGAAATACTACCTACAAATCTAGAGTTGAACTCGAAAGTGGAAATTCTAGATTACATATAGAATTAAATAGAGCAAGTTATTGACCCGAGTATCAGGAAACAAATTCGCAATTAGGATAGAAATATACCTAATTATATTACTTGGTTGAAATACAGGAAGTGTAAATGCGTTCTTATTAATCTTAATTCCATAGATATATAGGCATTAAGTTATCTTGAATAAGCGAGTAAGAACTCGACAGGTTCTTACAAGTAATATTAACCCCGTCAATCAACAAACTAGATAAATCAATTAGTCAGTTTAAGCCAAGAACGCATAAGATTGTTAACTAGCCTGTGACCCTGGAATATACTCTCCTACTAATTTTATCCAAAATTGATTACGTGTTCTAGTCGATCTCTATTTATTTAACTGCTTGATAGTTTCTGTGGAAGTTAATTAATCACTTACATATTTTGTGAAAAATCTCTTGAATAGATAAGTTTTTTGAGTTTGAATCAGTCAAAAGTTAATCATAAATCTTTGTGGGAATGATAATCTACTCACTACTTTATTACTTGACAATCACATATACTTGTGTGTGTGTTTGGTCGCAACAAGTTTTTGGCGCCGTTGCCGGGGACTTAGAAATTAGCTACTTGTCTGAGTTATGCTTTTATTAGTTATTTGTTTATGTTTTAATTTTCAGTTTGCCTTATTTGTGTTAACATAGGCTCTTCTCTTAAATGCGGAGGAGTAGAAGCACAAACAACCTCCTTCCTCTTGATCCTGAAATAGGACGAACACTTCACATGGTAAGGAGGGAAGTCGAAGCTAGAACTAGTATAGAGAGAGAGTTGGACATTATAGTTCCACCACAACTACCAGGGATGATAGATAATGAAGAGCAACCAGTGATAGAAGCCGCAAGGCCTAATCTTGATAATATTACTCAGGCTATTGTGAAGCCTGATATCACGGGTCATTTTGAACTCAAATAATACATAGTCCAGGTTCAGTCCACATGACAGTATGTGGGTCTATCTCATGAAGATCCGCATGGGCATATTCAGAACTTCCTAGAAATTACAGATACCTACAATTATTGGAACGTTTCCATGGACTATGTCAGGCTGACATTATTCCCCTTTTCACTACTGGGGAAAGACAAAGAATGGTCGCAAAATGAACCCGCAAACTTAATCCACACTTGGGATAATCTAGCAAGAAAATTCTTAATCAAGTTTATTCCCACTAAGAAGACAAAGTCGCTGAGGAGCTAGATTCTTGGTTTCCAACAACGGGATAGCGAGACTCTTTGCCAAGCTTGGAAAAGATATAAGAAGCTACTCAGAGACTGCCCACATCACTGTTTGACTGATGAGGTGTTGAGTCACACTTTTGTTAATCGGTTGGACAAGACATCAAAGATGAATTTTAACTCAGCTTGTGGGGGTAGTTGCATGGCAAGGCTCTATAGTGAAATCCAACTCCTGCTAAACAATTGCACTACTAATAATAATAATTGGCAAGGAGATGGGGAATCACAAAGAGCACTTAAATAGAAGGCAGTCGATTTAATTGAGCTTGATGACTTCTCAGCCATGGGAGCAGATATAGTGAAATTAGTAAATCATATGAATAGAATGATAATGCACCAAATGCAACAGATGCAACATGTGCAACAGACGTCTACTTGCTGCAAATTATGTGGTGACAATCACACAAGTGATGTATGCCCTACGAATCCTGAATCCATCTATTATATGGGGCAATAGAGCATAGGTCCAATAAATAAGTATGCACAATATAGGAACACTTACAACTCAAATTGGAAGAATAATCCTAACTTCTTCTGAGGTGGAAATCAGACGACTCAGAATTATTATAGGCCCCAAGAAAATTATAGTCAACCTCAGAAGCCACCCCATCAGGTAGAAGAGACTGCGAATGACCTATTGAAGAAATTTTTGCTTGACAATCAACAACTCAGGACCGATTTCAAAAATCTTGAGAGACAAATGGGGCAATTAGAGCCAAATACAAATACTAGGCCTGTAGGCGCTCTTCCTAGTGATACAAAGAAGAAACCTCAAGTCAATGCAGTCACACTAAAAAACGGGAGGGAATTAAAAGAAGCGCCAAATAAGAGAAGAGATACGCCTATACCTGAGGGGGAATTGATTCCTAAGGTAAAACACGAGTGAAAGAAAGATGATACAAGTTCAGAGCCAGTGAATTCTGCAAGGCCACCATCACCTTTCCCCCCAAAGATTACAGAAGAAGAATGATCGCATGTTTTGACAAATTTATCTCTATGTTAAGCCCGATTCAATTAATTATTCCATTGGTGGATGTACTTTGTAAAATTCCAAAATATGCGAAGTACATCAAAGATATAATGGCTCACAAAAGGAGACTGAATGAATTCGAGACAGTCTACTGAGTGCATTTCGAGGGTCCAAAACAAGCTTCCTCAAAAGCTTAAGGACCCCAGCAACTTTACCATCCCTGTGCGGATTGGTAATATTGATGTGGGCTGTGCTTTTTGTGATTTTGGGGCAAACATAAATCTGATGCCCTTGTCCTTGTGTAAGCAATTGGTTCTAGGAGCTTCAAGACCAACCACTGTGATGTTGCAACTAGCTGATAGATCCATAGCGTACCCTGAAAGAATGATTGAAGATGTGTTGCTGCAGATTGAGAAATTCATCTTCCCAGTGGACTTTATTATCCTAGATTATGAGGCTGATGAACACGTTCCAATCATATTGGGATGACCTATCTTGGCTACAGGTGATGCAATTATTAAAGCGAGATAGGGAAAAATGACTATGAGGGTGGACAACAAGGAAGTAGTTTTCGATGTCTATAAGGCGATTCAACTACCCCTCCATTATGGGGAGATCTCTATGATATCTGTTGTAAAGGTGGATGAGCAACTTATATACACGAGTGTATATCTGGATGATTCTCTAGAGAAAGCACTCATGTTGTTCGATATCTTGGAGATTGATGACGAGGTTGAGTAGGTGATGCATATACTAGATGCATCATGTGTCTACATACAAGAATTAAACCCCTTGAGCCCCTAAATAGGCCAAGTGGTCCTCTACCAAAGCCATCAATTGAAAAGGCTAAAAAATTGGAACTTAAACCCTTGCTCCCTCACCTTCAATATGCTTATTTGGGTGGTTCTGACACTCTACCTATTATTATTTCCTTTGACTTGTCTAAATTGCAGGAAGAAAAGTTGTTAAGAGTGCTACGTGAGCACAAGCGAGCAATGAATAAAGTCTGACATTAGAGGCATTGGTCCGGCCTTCTGTATGCATAAAATCCTCATAAAGAAGGACACAAGCCAAGTGTAGAGCACCAACACTGCCTAAATCCAATAATGAAAGAGATGGTAAGGAAAGAAGTGATTAAGTGGCTTGATATAGGTATTGTATTTCCAATCTTTGATAGCAAATGGGTAAGCCCCATCCAATGTGTGCCTAAGAAGGGGGGATGACTGTAGTGGTTAATGAAAATAATGACTTGATTCTCAAAAAAATTGTGATAGGGTGAAGAATTTGCATAGATTATAAAAAATTAAACAATGCCACCCACAAGGACCACTTCCCCTCCCCTTTATAGACCAAATGCTTGATAGATTAGCTGGACAGGAATACTATTGTTTCTAGATGGCTATTCAGGTATAATCAGATTGCTATAGCCCTAGTGGACCAAGAGAAGACTCCATTTACATGTCCCTATGGCACGTATGCGTTCAAGAGAATGACCTTTACTCTCTGTTAATGCACCTGTGACTTTTCAACGGTGTATGATGACTATTTTTACTGACATCGTTGAACGATTTGTAAAAGTGTTCATGGATGATTTTTCTGTGATTTGGTATTCTTTTGATAATTGCTTAATGAACTATGATAAAGTGATTGCTAGGTGTAAAGAGAAAAACTTGGTGCTAAAATGGGAGAAATGCTATTTCATGGTACGAGAAGGTATAGTCTTGGGGCACAAGGTGTCAAAAATGGCCTGCAGGTGGACAAGGTTAAAGTGGAGGCAATTGAAAAATTGCCCCCACTAATATCTGTTAAGGGCATTCGTAGTTTCTTGGGCCATGTAGGTTTTTATCGTTGCTTCATTAAAGAGTTTACAAAAATTTGTTCTCCTCTATGCAGGCTTCTTGAGAAAGATATCCCCTTCAAAGTTGATGATGCATGTCTGAAAGCATTTGAGGAGCTGAAGAAAAGATTGGTGACTGTGCCAATTATCATTGCCCAGTATTGGGCGCAACCATTTGAGTTGATGTGTGATGCGAGTGACGTCACAATCGGAGCTATTTTAGGGCAAATGAGGGATAAAATTTTTCACTCCATTTATTACGCGAGCAAAACTCTAAATTCAGCCTACATAAACTACACTGTTACTGAAAAATAGTTGCTTATACTGGTGTGGGCGTTTGATAAGTTTAGATTCTATCTAGTGGGAATCAAAGTCATCGTCTACATAAAACACTTAGCTATAAGATATTTTTTAAAGGAGAGATGCAAAGCCGAGGATGATTTGATGGGTTCTCCCCTTACAAGAATTTGACTTAGAGATCCGAGATCGAAAAGGAATAGAAAATCAAGTGGTTGATCACTTGTTTAGATTAGAAAATCGAAACCATGCAGCTGCGTGAGGTTCGATCAAGGAAACCTTTTCGGATGAGCAATTATTGGTCTTTACCTTGAGTGTAGCCCCGTGGTATGCAGACTACGTGAATTTTATTGCAAGTAGGGTGATGCCACAAGAATTGACACCCGATAACAAAAGAAGATTTCTACATGATGTTAGGCTCTACTTGTGGGATGAGACATTCCTATATAAGTAGTGCATACATCAGTTATTACGAAGGTGTGTTCTTGAGGAGGAGATGAATTAAATATTTCATATCTTTCACGCTTCTCCATATGGAGGTCATCCCTGTGGGGATAGAACATCCCAAAATTGCTGCAATTGGGTTTCTATTGGCCAAAATTATTTAAGGATGCACACACCTTTGTTAAAAAGTATGACATGTGCCAAAGAACCGGAACAATCACAAAGAAGCACGAGATGCCTTTGCAAAATATTCTAGCAGTAGAAATCTTCAATGTTTGGGGGATTGATTTTGTGGGACCGTTCCCGTATTCTAATAGTCACAGATACATCTTGCTGGTGGTCGACTATGTGTCTAAGTGGGTGGAGACCATTGCTCTTCCTACTAATAACGCAAAGGTAGTGGTAAACTTTGTAAAAAAGTACATCTCTCATGCTTTGGGACTCCAAGGGTGCTGATAAGTGATGGAGGAACTCACTTATGTAACAAGTTATTGAATAATATTCTAGAAAAATATAGAGTTAAGAACAAGGTTCTATCATATATCATCCCAAACGAGTGGTCAAGTGGAAATGTCAAACAGAGAGGTGAAACAAATTCTCAAAACGGTAAGTGAAAATTGGAAGGATTGGCCGAAAAGCTTGATAACACATTATGGGCGTATCGAACTACATACAAGACCCCCATTGGAATATCTCTATATAAGTTGGTTTATAGGAAGGCGTCCACTTGCCTGTCGATCTTGAACATAAAGCCTATTGGGCGATTAAAAAGCTAAATATGGATATGGATTTAGCCGATAAGAAGAGGTTGTAACAGCTCAACGATCTTGATGAGTTTCGATTGCACGCGTACGAAAATACCAAATTGTATAAAGAAAAGACCAAGAGGTGGCATGATAAGCACATCCAACATCGCAAGTTTGAGCCAGGTCAAGAAGTTCTCTTGTTTAATTCAAGGTTGAAGCTTTTTCCTGGAATGTTTAAGTCTCTATGGGCGGGCCCTTTCAAAGTGGTTAGTGTGAAGCCTCATGGAGCGGTAGAATTGCGTGATACGAGTTCAAGTGGTACATTCTTGGTAAATGGGAAGAGAGTAAAACACTATTGGAGTGGTGACATTGCACGTCACAAGACCTTGGTGGACTTGGCCGATGCTTGAAAAACATGTTACGTCATGTCACGATGTTAAATTAGACGCTTATTGGGAGGCAACCCAATTTTTAATGCTTTTGTAGCTTAGCTTTTTGTTTTTTTTAGTTAGAGTAGACTAGATTTATTTGTTTTCTTTGTAGTTATAGAAATCATAGGTAGGAATAGTGTGGGGTGTGTATAATGGATGTATTCAGTGCTCGGGGAGGGGGTATGTTTTATAAAAAATAATAGAAAAATCGGGAACTAGCGCCCAGGCTAGTTCTCCACGCTGCCTGGGGCACACTTGATAGAATGTTAACAACCCCCAGTGCCAGGCCTAGCGTGGAGTGCTAGGCTGGGGGTCAGATATGTCCCTATATATATATATGACCCACAACCATTTACACTCACTATCTAACCCATAACCCATACCCATTTCCCTTTGAATTACAACAACATAAAATCCTAAAACCCCCTTTGTTTCTCTTCCCCCGCTCGATCTTTCCTTTCTTTCTCTCTGCCCGTTATCTCTTTCTCTCTTTCAAGTTCTCCATTGTTCCTTACTTATTTTCATCTCAAACTCAAAGGTATGTTCTTCTTCTCCTCTCTTTTCTTGTATTTTGCAATTTCTTAGTGTGTAATGCTACTGTCCCAACCCAAACGACCCCCACCCCAAATTCACCCTATGTTTCTTTTAGACTTTATGTGCTATAGTGGATGGACACTATATGCAACTTGGTTGATGAAATTGGTTGTGAAGTTGTGTTTGAAGTAGTAAAATACAATACCCTCTATTTCCTTTATATTGGGAGGCCCACCTTGTTCCACTATTATTGAAAAAAGAGAAATAAAATTGATGCCCACCATGTGTTTGCTAAAATGCTTGAAAGAGTGAATTGTGCACCGGTGAAGTTTGAGTAGCCGACTGTCATTGTATGTGATGTTGGGCTAAGTATGGGGTGTTTGGGGGTGGTTTTAAATAATCCGAAGCTCGTGTTCCATGTTCACCTTACCATAATCACGCTACCCACACGTTGTATCATGTGTAATGTATCTTGTAGCCTCTTGTTAGAAGTAGTTAGTGTATTATACTTGCTGTAGTAATTTAGACTCAAGTATTGCTTGCTTGCACTACGGCTAAGTCATGGCCATGTTCTACTACTTGAATTGTGTGGCATGGGGAAGTCTTGAGTACCCATGCCTTGTGATGAAACACTTGTTCACTTTGAACTAGTATTATGAGTAGCTTATATATAGCCTTCAATTTTAAGTGTGGGGTCATATTTGCCTCTCATGATGACTTGGGGCAAATTTCTTGATTCATTTTCACATTCGTGTTTATCATGTGTAGGTTGCTATGGCTCGTGATAGTGCTGCCACGAGAAAACGAGTGGGAAAGTCCTCCACTAATGCTCCCCCTCCCAAAAGATGCAAGCAGAGTGAAGGTTCTCCTTGGCAAGCTAAGGAAATAGGTTGCTAGTGGGTCGAAGAAGGTACCATCGGGACCACGACCTCGTTTGGATCTAGTTCTTGAAGATGCCATCCAATGACATAATAACTTTGTGCCATATGGGCGATATATCTCCGAAATAGAGATTAATGTGAAAGCTCTAGAAAATAAATTCTCGGATGTGCTTGCCCGATTTGTAGTGATAGAGATGGATAAGCTCATAGAGTGCTCGAGCCATGTAAATTTGAGCATGGTGCGAGAACTTTATGCCAATTGGAATGCAAGCTTGTTCACGTTATGGTTCCGAGGAAAGGACATACCAATGGATAGACG